AGGGACAGCTTTTCCAAATTATCCCAGCCTCCATCTAACTGCTGTGGGAACTGCGGGAATGATAACTGGGAGTTGCTGAAGCCAAACGGAGTGGGTAACATAGTAATGGGATAGACCCGCAGTTCTGTTGACTCTGCGAGTCAACGTGGCTTGTGGGGTGTGTGCCCAGTCTGGGCTTGGCTGGGGGAGATGCAGGGAAGTGATGTTAAGTAATGAAGCTTAGGTATAAGTGAAGACTTACAGGGACTACCTCTGAAAGGAGTGCTGGGTTCATTTTTTCAGCTTGCTGATGGATCCACTGACAGATATGTGATTGCACAAGTGGTGGTCTGCTGCTCCGCCAGGTCAGTGGGTTTAGTTTTCCATCCGTGAGGTGAGAAGGAAAAGCCTCATGAGCTGGGGGAGCAGGGCTGAATAGCGCAGGCCTGAATGGACGGAGTCGCTATTCAAATAACTCAGCAGATGATGGCTGCCTACGCCATTTCAGATAAGAGTCTCTAAATGTTGTGCATTGCATTAAGCACAAGTTTGAGTTTGCTCTTACAAATCATAGTTTGGGTTGGAAGGGACCTTCAAAGGTTATCTAGTCCAACAACCCCTGCAGTGAGCAGGGACATCTTCAACTAGATCAGGTTTCTCAGAGCCCCGTCCAACCTGACCTTGAATCTTTCCAGGGATGGAGCATCTATCACCTCTCTGGGCAACCTGATCCAGTGTTTCACCGCCCTCACTGTAAAAAATTTCTTCCTGATATCTAGTCTAAATCTACCCTCTTTTAGTTTAAAACCATTACCTCTTGTCCTATTGCAACAGGCCCTGCTAAAAAGTTTGTCGTCATCTTTCTTATAAGCCCTCTTTAAGTATTGAAAGGCCACAATAAGCTCCCTGGAGCTTTCTCTTCTCCAGGCTGAACAACCCCAACTCTCTCAGCCTGTCCTTATAGAAGAGGTTTTCTGTCCTTCTGATCGTATTTGTGGCCCTCCTCTGGACTCACTCCAACAGGTCTTTCTTGTGCTGAAGGCTCCAGAGGTGGATACAATACTCCAGGTGAGGTCTCATGAAGGCAGAGTAGAGGGGCAGAGTCACCTCCCTTGACCTGCTGGCCACGCTGCTTCTGATGTAGCCCAGGATGCCATTTGCTTTCTGGGCTGCGAGCACACATTGCTGGCTCATGTCCAGCTTTTCACCTACCAGTACCCCCAAGGTCCTTAACCTTAAGAATCGTTAACCTTATTCCTGTTGCCATCATCTCTTAACGTTTGGGTTTTATGGTTCCCGCTTCCAGAAGATGATGGCAACTTTAAGGTCTTTGCATTTGTCCTCTGTAAGCTGTCTGGACCTAATCATCTCATGGCTTTGGAAGTCGCAATAATAATAATAATTGTTGCTATCTGAAGTGCCGTATGCATGCTTCTACAATAATACAGGTCAAAGAGGTTGAGACAGACAACCTGTCTTGAGATTTCTTGTATTTTAGGTCCACATTATGGTGGACTAATGGGCTTAGTCACCTGTTTGATAGATGTCTTTTTTTTTTTCCAAAGGATGGATCTGCTCTTAAGTAAAGCTTTGCAAAAACTGGGAAGTGCAGCATCGGAGCTCTTGAATTTGGACTATTTCCAGGCTTGACGTCCAGAAACTCATCTCTATGGGTGGTAAATTTAAAGAGGTAAGCTCTTTCAAGTGTCCTGGAGGAAGAGTGCAAGAGCAAATCATAGCTGAGTACTTGAAGCTGCTGTTGAACATGCCAGATTTGTCAAGCCCCAGGGTGCAGGGCTGGCTTGGCTGACACCAGACACTGCGTACAGTCCCATAGTTTACTGCAATTGTCTCCTTATATGAAATATGCTGCTTTGCCTGGGTGGTGAGCGAGGAGGAAAGCAGAATGCCCTGTGTCAAGAGCACTTACTCTGAGAAGCTCTTGAACTTGCAGTACATCAGAAAGTCTGGGGAAACTTATCCAGCCTTTTAATTAGCAGGACGCCAGCTTTTTAGGGTATATTGCTTTGGCTGCAAGCACTGTTCTGACTGTCTTGCAGCAGGGAGGTAGTAACGTGTTTGGGCGTTGGGGCTTTTTGGGCTTTTTTGGAGGGGGGGGTGGGGAGCAAATCGTGTTGTGGCAAATCAGAATAAGAACTAATTATACATGTGTATTTCGTTGCACCCCTGGGCTGGCTTATTCCTAATCCTGAGAGTCTGCTCATCCTCCTTGACGTGGGAGGCCATGTACATGTAGGACCTGTTGACCCATTAAAAGTGAACCTTAAAGGTAATACCAGGAAGCACTTGTAGAGGTAATATTTGTATAACTAATACTGCGCTGCAGGCCAGGCAGTCATCTGTTGGAAATGGGTCACTGAAGCTAAACAAATTCACACCATCTGAGGCTCTGACCCATATGTAGATTTCAAACCGAGTGAACAAATTGTGAGGGTGCTATTTTTGCATTTACTTTGAATTCGAAACGATGACACAGTCTCAGTTCTTAGTCAGTCAGACTTCCAGTAGCAGTGGATTTTTCTTAAAGGACTTGGGAGAATGACTCAAGGTTGAAAACTGGGACAAACAAGTTTGTTTTTTTTTTTTTCTGTCAAATAGCATCTGCAGCCTTAAACAAATTATCTATTTGTTTGTTATTTTTAAAACTAGCCTGGAAATGAAAGACAGCTGCCTGCTTCTGTTTTCCTGCTTGAATTCATTTTCCAACCTAGAGATTGGCAAAATTTCCGTTTGGACCCAAGAGAAGTTGCTGCTTGGGAAAAGTGGCTGCTGGTGGGAGCAAGGCTGCTTCTCTCTCCCTTGGAGGCTATAGCAGCAGCCCGGGAGGCAGCCAGCGGCAGTATGACCTTCTGTTTCTATAGTAGCCAATGTCACAGGGATCTATAGCTTCCTGGCCCAGCAGAGAGGAGAAGGAAAGGGACAGAGATGCTGCAACTTCTTGTGGCACCTACAGCGCGGAGTTTTTGGTGGTGATAGGTGGCCCTAGACACTGCACGTGGTGACTGTGTTTACTTGCGTTCTGCTCACTAAATCAACTTCCCCTAAGATTTATTCTGACTTGCTGAACGATCCGAGCAACTTTCAACTGCTGCCTTTTTTTTTCTTAAATGGAAAAGAAAAAACCCAACTTGATTAACTCCTTCCTACCCCTCCCACCTTTCTCTCAGTGTGGAATTTCCCTCCTGCCGTGACACTTAGGTAAAGGGTAGGATCGGCAGCATTCAGAGTGATACCAGGGGCATTAGCAGCTTGTGGACTGCAAATCGCAGGGCTAAAAACTGGAGAAACTTCCCAGGCTGCTCTTGGAAAGGGTGTTTATGGCTCCATGTATGGAGACTGCCTGACAACTACGTTATTGGTATTACTGTTAAGTATTGGGAGAGATGTTAGGAGAGGAAAGATGACTGTAGGCAAGGCATTGCTGGGCAGAAGCCTCCATTCCAAAACTACTGGGCCTGTGCAAGGGAAGACGTTTGGCCCTGCTGTGCCATGTCCTCCCCAGGGCACAGAATGGGTTCTGCACGGCTATCCAGCTAACACGAGCACCGAAAGGAGCACGAGGCTTTTCCATAGCCAGCAAAGGGTGCAAGATAAGGGGAACCTCACAAGGACTAAGCCTAACCTAAAGCTCTCCCTCCAGAGCAAGCCCTCTGCAGGTCCCTGCACGTTCCCTGGTGGGCTGCCTGCCCGCTATGAGCCCTGATGCTCCCACGAGTCTGCGGTGGGGGTGACTGCCAGAGATGGAGGAGCACGTCTCTTCCTGCGCTGCAGGCTGGGTGTCAGCAGTCTGTTCTGCTCCGAGCATGGCTGTGCTGTCAGCGAGTGTGACTGGGTTAATGGAGTATGTCAAGGGACCGAGGGCAGGGTTTGGCGGTGAGCTACTGACTTGTCAGGCCTGGGGAAGTGGTATGTAACAGCTCGGCTTCTCACACAGAATGAGCCTCTGGCTTGGGGCTGTGGTTTTTATGTTTATGCTTATATATATATATATACACACACATGCAGAATATGTATTTTTTTATATATATAATCGAAGTGACTTGGATGGCTGATGGCAACACTGGGTTCAGGAATTTGCATGTCTGAAAACAGCCTGGTGGTAACACAAGTTGCAGGAGATTAGCGGGGTCCTGACAGTAAGGGGAGGGCACTTTGAATGCAGCACATGAGTGGAGGACAGTGACTGGGAGAGGGCAGCGTCATATACTGGACAGGGGAGATGTCCCTCTGGCAGGAACAGAAGTTAAGGGCCTAGAAAGGCCTGAGCAGAACCATTCCTGGGACACCAGCTGGATCTGGTATTGGTGTTAAGTGGTCTCGTTTGTGGCAGTCCCAGCCATGAAGCTGATGGTGTAACATTTCTTGAAGAAGTCTTGATCCAAGACCTTTGCTTTCTCCTGACACAGTGAAACGGTCATGTCCTGGGATGTGGAAGTGGTTCCTGGGGTTTGGTGGAAAAAGCTCATTCACATCTTCTGCTTCTTTTAAGTCCCGTTGTCTGTCCTTTTGTTGGAGAAAGGGTTGGAGAGGCATGAGAAAACCTTTCCACCCTTCACTGAATGACAAAGTGAACAATACTTTCCTGCTTTGGGAAGTTTTTCCCTTCTGCTTTGGAGTGTCATTTCCCCTTGCCAGTCTTAAGGCCACTCTGAAAAGCCCCTAAACATCCAACTGAGGGAAATCTCGAAATACTGAGATCTGCTAGGTTCAAACCAGCCTGCTGAAGGGTGTGCTGGGGAGCCCCTAGCTGTGGATCATGGAAACCCAATGGATGCAGAGCTCTGTAAAGTGCTAACTTGCGTTGGTGGGGACCCAGCTGGAGCCCTTCCTGCTTATATTTCCTTGGTTATCCCTACAGCTGTGGGTTAGGGACATACAGTAACTCCCTGGTACCCTCTTTGGTACTCTCGCTGCTGTCTTCTCCCTGTGAAGTATCTTCACTTGCGCAGTTAGAACAAGGTGTTGGATTTGCTTCAACTGTCCTTCTGTCCTGCAGGCTGGATGGGAAGGAGGAAGCATGGTAAAGGCAGCGTCTTTCCAGGATCCATGGGCTCTTTGAGAGATGATCAGAGGGAGGCCAGATGATCTGCACAACACGCACGCCACTGGTTCTCGTCCACAAAGGCAGCATCGGAGCGTTCTCCCCAGCCCTGCACCCCCCAGCTTGCCCGATCGTTTCCGGATGTTTCGCAGCTGCGAGTGGGAGGTCCTGGAGCGATCCCTTAACATCCTCCAGGCCAGCGACTTCTACTGGGGCCCCTTGTCCGTGGGGGAGGCTCACGCCAAGCTCCAGCAGGAGCCCGTCGGCACCTACTTGGTGCGGGACAGCTCGCAGGGGAACTGCTTGTTCAGCCTGAGCGTGCGGATGCCAACAGGACCCGTCAGTCTTCGGATCTCTTTCCAGGAGGGCTATTTCCGCCTGAAGAACTGGTTTTCGGACTGTGTGGTCCGACTGCTGGAACTGGTGGTGGCGGGGACCCGGAACAACCCCTTGCACTTTGATGAGATGGGGGGAACCCCCCTGGTCTTCTCTGAGCCCCTGTGCCGGAGCCGTCGGGCAGTGCCCACGCTGCGAGAACTGTGCCGCCGGAGCCTGGCCGCTGGTGCTGCAACGGGGGACGCAGCGGCGCTGGGCGGCTCCTGGGGGATGCGCCCGAGGGAGGAGGTGGTCTCATGCCCAGGCGAAAGGGGAGGGTTGGAGGGGAGTATTGTCCCCAGTTCTTCTCCGTCCTGGGATGGAAGATGATGCTATGGGCATGGGAGACGAATGGAGGTGCCTGTTACGTGGCTGTGCTGGTGGGACGCACGCCATGTCGGTGGGGCTGGACTGGCTGCTGGGAGAGGAGGGGGAGGGCAGGGGGAGCAGGGCTTGAACCCACTGGCTGTGACAGCTGTGTCCTCATACGTGCACAGCGTGTGTGGCCTTCCCCAGCGATGTCAGGGGTAAAGCCAACATGCAGAGCAGAGATTCCCCCCGTCCCCCCCAAGTCCTGCTCTTTTCTCCCTTTATAATTTATAAGCTTGAGAAGGTGAGTTACCTGTCCTCCTGGGTCAACCCTGTGTTTTTCTCTATTGAAGAGTGCTTAAGCTTGTTTCTGCTACAGATCTGCCCTCATGAAGTGGTACAGCTGCGACAGTCCCACAGCAGTGCAGCTTGGGCATCAGTGGGCACGACCCCTGTGCCGACCGGATACCCACACAGCCGCAGTGGAGCGAGAGCACATTTCACTCCTTGCAGCACAAATGCAATGCCTGCCACCTCGGAAGCCAACGTTTGCACTGGGGGAAGACCATTGCAGCCGTGTATGATACGTGCAGCTTCACTGGCTTTTGCGTGCTTTATTTGGACAGGTTTTTGAGAGTGCAGATGAGTTTCACTATACTAAGGGCATGGTATTTCTGCGGAGGTGACCCTGGTCTGGAGGGTCGGCTCTGCTCTGGGAGAGCGTGAACAGATGGGATCCAGAGCCCTTTCTTATGCTCGTCTGATAGTATGCTGCTGCCACCTACAGACTGTAAAAAGACGTTTTGGTTTTGCCTCAAAAAGGCAAAGAATTTTTTATATGAGACTTTAAAAAAATTTAATAAACATGGTTTTGTACTTATTTTTAAAAGTCAATGAATACATGGTGATATTTTCATTCCCTTGCAGTGTTGGAAACCTGGTTAGTTTAGTGTCGAGACATGGCAATCAAACTGAACCTGAACAAGTGAATTTCTTATAAAGACCAAAAGCAGAACATAAATGAATGGTCCTAGCTGGAAACAATAAACTTAATTCATCTTGTAGTGTAATCAAGTAAAGACTTTTCTAAACATAAGATACTTCCTAAGAATGTAGGGTGAGATTTTCAGAAGTATTTTTAGTACCTTAAAATTTGTACTGAGTGTTTGAAAGAAACATGAGTAATTCAAGAACAGGGCACAGCATCAGTGAACTCAGACCGGTGAGGATGAGTACAAATGAGAGGAGCAGAGTCAGCTTGAATAGGGTTATGGTTCATTTTACGGGTGCAGGCAGGTATGATATCTTTAAAATAAGTGACTGCAAACAGCTATGTGAAAGGAGAAATTCAGATACTGTAAAATTTGAGCAGAACTGTTTTGTGCGCTGCCAAGGATCCACAGCTGTGTGGGCAGTGTGCTGAGCTCACGCTGACTTTCCCCTTCAAACTGTATGGGAGGGGGGTAAAAAGCCAAACGTGGAGAGGGATTACTCTGAATTTGCTCTTTTGGCTTTAGGTATCTTATCTGAGGAACCAAAGCGTGCGGTCAGCACACATTGAGAGAGAGAGAGATACAGGGTGTGATTCATCACAGGAGCCTAACTTAGACACTCTGAATTATTCTCTGGAGGGCTCTGTCGCTCTGCCAATGGCAAGGTGCCTGGCCTCCTATCTCGGGGCACTGGCTTTTGAACGAAGGTAGTTAAATAAGTGCCAGGGAAGTGGCCATCTTCTTCCTGCCGCCTCCTTCTCTCGGTCTCAGGGAGGCCAGTGGCAGCTGAGTAGCCCTGTAGCTGCTGATGCTCTCAGCCCGGCACAAGCGGGGATGGCTCACATTGCAGGGTTCGCCTGCACTGTGGTGGCTGACACGTGGGTATGGTGTTGCTTGCCACTGGAGCTGTAATTTCATGCAGGGCCAGGGCAAAAAGCTAAGCAGGTAATTGCATCTGTTGTTGTCGCTGGGTCCATTAGAGGTGGTGAATTGGAGCCCTTGGATGCCTGAGTCAGTCTGTGATGCCCTGGGTGAGGGCTTGGGGTGCTCTGTGTTACCCCTGGCAGCATCACGACGTGGCTGGGGGTTCAACCCACCCTGAGAGAATGGTCCTGTGCATCCCATGCTCAAACACACACCCTGTCGCTCAGGGTTATTGGTGTCCCCGGCTCCTGAAGTAGCCCTGGCCGAGCACTGTAACCCATGCGAGGACAAGGGGTCTTGGCAGACAGCAAAGCTGAATCCTCCTGCAGGGTGTCTGGCAGCAAAGGCCACCAGCATCCTGGGCTGCATTAACAGGAGCACCACCAGCAGATGAGGGGAGTGATTACCTCCCTGTACTCACCACTCCTTAGATCCCTAGTTTGAGTTTTGCATCCAGTTTGGGGCTCCCTAGTGCAACAAAATCACAATAAATTGGAGTGAGATTGCGATGAGGGGTGACCCCAAGAAGCTCAGGGAGCCAGAGCACTTCCCCTGCGAGGAGAGGCTGAGGGAGCTGGGCATGTTCAGCCTAGAGGGGAGATGGCTTCAGAGGGACCTAAGAGCAGCCTACCTGTACCTACAAGGAGGTCAGCAAGGACCCAGGCTCACCACAGTGCTGCATGGCAGACATAGGGGAAACAAGTCCAGGCTGGCTATGAGGGGATTTTATTCCATGAGGGTAGTCTGGTTGGGGGGCAGGTTCCCCAGAGAGGTACAGTCTCCACTCTTGAAAGTTTCAAGACAGCTGGGTCAAGCCTGGAGCAACCTGGTGTCACTTCAGAACTGGCCCTGGTGTGAGCCCCAGGTTGGATTAGACACCTTCTGGGGTCCCGTCCCCTGAACAACTCTGCGGTCGGGCATTTTCACAGGGCAGGGAGGTGGGACTGGCCATGGAGGAGGTGGTGGTGGTGGTGCTGTCACTGCAGGTGCTGTGCCTGCAAAGCCCCCTGCAGAGGGACCAGGATGGTGGCAGTGCCAGCCAAGTGCTGTGGCATGTTGGTGGATGGAAACCCACGTCCCTCCTACTTCCCCCGCACTGCAGGGTGCCCCTGGGTCACACACATCCTCTGGGTGCTGCTGCCTGCCATGGATTTGGCCAGGGCTTGGACACCATGCTGTTGCTCACCCTCAATGCTCTTTGGGCAGAGCTCCAGCAGAGCACAAGTCTCCAGCAGCTCCTACGCCCACCCTGCCACCCCCTGTGGGCATCTCAGGTGGCTCCAGGCACCTGTATTTTGGGACTGTGCCCTGGCTCTCATGTGGAGCCCCTGCCTTGGCAGGGTCTGCTGCACGGCTGTCTTCCCTCTCTGCCTGCCGCAGGAGAAGTGGGACTGGCTCTGCTGCCCCAGGCACCCTGCCCGTCCCCTCAATCCTTTTCTTCCTTGGGGGTGTCATCGCTTAGGGGCCTTGGCTGCCTTCCTGCCTTCCCTTCAGAAACAGGGGAGGGGGGAAGGAGTGGGCTGATTTCTTCCACATTTATAACTGAGCACAGGAATGCTTCTGTTTTATGGCTGCGGTTATAGCTCGCTGAGGGAAGAGCTTTCGAACTGGATTGCTGTGACCTGGCTGTGAACCGTTCTCATTTGGCCGAAAACGAGCATCTTGGGTTGTATGGCTGGGGGCTGCAGAAGAACCCTGTTTGCGGCCAGGATTGTGACTTAGGAAAATCACACAAAGGGAGGAGGAAATAGTTTGGATTTCAATAAAGTCTGCTTTATTTTGCTGATTTTTATTTTATTTTTAATTGCACAGCAAGTGCTCATCTCTGTCTTACAAGTAAGTCAATTCCGTGCAGGGCTGTAGCGAATTGATTTGAGATTTGTGGATGAAAAGCAGTGAATAAGTGCCAAGCATTGTTGTAGTATGGAAGTTTAAAACACATTATGGGTGAGTATTCTCCTTATTCCTGAGGAGAAGTCACTTTGCAGATCAGGATTGGTGCAAGCAAGGATACCAATTTGGGAAGAACAGGACTGTGCAAAGTGCATCGTCTGCGGTAGACTTTGCAGAGTCCTCCTTTTGCATGGACTTTGGAAGATAAAACTTTTTCCATCAGCTCTTGAGAAAAAAATGTACAAAGTAAAACCATAAGAGTTTACTTCCGTGGGGTGACTGTAAACAACATCCTGCTGCTTTCATTAACGAGTGGGAGACGTTCGCTTTAATCACTCTGCCTCTGAACTGGTCCCTCTGCCGTGTAGGAGCAGCTCCTGGTGGCCTGCATCCAGGCATTTCTTTTGGTGGCTCCTAAAGGGACTTACAAAGAAATTGCAAACTTCCTCACAACCTCTTGAGCACCATTTGGGGAATAGGAGAAAATTGTTTGCATTTTTATATGTTATGTTATACATTTCTCCAGCTGACTCATTTCAGTTTGTCAAGGAAACTTATACAGCCTTGCAGATGGTTTTTTTCAACCGTTCTTCCTAACAGCAGAAGTTGAAAAGTTTAGTCCTTGTGAGAGGGGCTTCCTCTAATGGGCTGCAAAGGGCCTGGATTTCGGTCCCAGCACGCCGCAGGCATCCAGCAGGAAACTGCTCTCTTCATCTGCTCCCCACTAGCTGCCTGTTAGTGGTGCTCTGGGGCCCCAGGGGTTAATTTCCCAAAATCCTTCGCTAAAACTTGTTAATAACTTCCATATGTACCCATGTGTGTGCACAGGAGGGGCCCCACAGCCAGCAGCTCTTGTAATAATACTTGATTACCTCTGACATAAGGGTCTGCGTGCCATTAGGAATCTGCCTTGATGGATCAGGATTCACCAAAACCACAAGTTTGTGCAAACACATTTCAAAAAATTTATTAACATTTGGACATCCTCAGTGTTTGGAAATGAGCTCCTCCTTGGTAGGCAAGCTTCAAAATAAAACCTTCTGCATACACACAGCTGGGTCTCATGTTTGGACCCTTACCCTGATGTCCCTCACAAAATGTGTATTTGCATCATTAGTCTCTAAACATGCTACACCCCTTAATTTACAAGAATACCTTGGTTAGGGGAATGTCATGGTTTTGTCCAATTGAGTTAATTTTGCACCAATTCCT